TTCAGTCTATCATTTGAGTTGAATCTGCATTAAGAGCTTTTGGCCATGTGGGATAAAAATAGCTCACATTTAGTACACTGTTACATTTTGTCTGATATTATTAAAGATTTGCAGCATATTCCTAATTCCAGGTTTACTTGCTAGACTTCTCAAAGCTTTGAGCTACATCTCATTGACCTTGTCAGCAGTATCAGTTTTCATCAATTGTACTTAGTTTCCGAGTGCTTAGTAGACATGATGACAACTGAAAAAACTCCTTATACCCATGGCTACAGTAGAAATAATGAATAGTATTGCGATGTGAAGAACTCTCTAACCAGACAACAGCCTAGAGCTAATTAGTTACATCTATACATTTCTGGTGACAGTTTTTGCTTCCAAACTCTACAGTCAGCATACAACAATACTGTTAATAATGTAAGCTATAATCCAAATTGCAGCCCTTGCATTCTTAAAATGTCAAGATTTCAATATGAAAACCATTGATTGTTCAGCCCAGAAAGAACTTACATGACTAACTACAGCGACGAACTCTGTAGAAAGCGAGGGCGTTCTTAATTACAGAGCGCTGCATCTCCTTCTGTCTTCTCCTTTCTCTCTATTTCTGCCTCTGTTCTTCTCAACCCTTTGTTTTTATGTCTGTTTGATTTACCCTTCCGCCCATCGACTCTCTTCTCTCTGTCCACCCTCCTCTTTTTCCTTCCTCACAAATTCCCTGGCTCTTTATAGCTTTAGTCTGGTCTCCCTCCCAAAGTGCTTCAAACCAAGAAACAGTTGTAAAACCGATTGATTTTATAACAAATTGGAAGACAGAGGCCACAGATAAGAATGACATTGTTATTATTTTCCAAGCAGAACTATATTCAAACTGGACTGGATGAATAGATGGAGATGCATAGATACACTTAGGTAATGCTGCCAAAAGATTGCGAACATTTTCAGTGCTTCATCATTCTAATTCATCATTAGATGTTGTTGCCAGCACAAGTGTTTCTTTCCACAGAATCAGAGATACTAGTATTTCTGTGAGCAGTAACAGAAGATCGTGTGGAATGAGCATATCAGCAACACATGTTGCTATCATTAGGTTAAAGCTGTTGCTTTCTGGAAAGATCAGGCATTTTGTGTTGAATGGCATTGTTGATAAATGTTTCAAAAATGTTTTCTCTAGTAACAATGCTGTGATCTTGACCCACGGCTTGTTTTTTTATAGTGTTTCAAATTTTGCATGAAAAGTTGCCTTACAGAGAAACCTTATCTGGTTGCTATCCCAACTCTGGTTGTAACTGGAAAGCTACGTAGTGACGTGTCCTCTTATTCAGACAACACCATTGCTTTTATTAGTCGTTTAAATAGAAATTAGATTAGCATGAAGAGTCTTTTGTAATGCAATGGTTTGTACAGTAAATATTTTGATAACTTGATGATGCAATGTTCCTATGCAGCACCACATGCATCATACATGAGGGGTATTATGAAGTCTCTACCATAATATAAGCATTCAAATCTTTAGTTTTTGTGTCAATATACTGCATGTGATTATAAATGTGACTGTGTGTCTCTTTTTGTCAGGATGTGTCCTGACCACCCTTTTACATGCTAGTCTAATGTACGTGCGGCTGCATTACCATGGATTAGATAAAGGCAGACATTAACATACATTATGAGTTTCCAGCAATACTCCAGGGGTAGTTTTATCTCTGACACCAGCCACCTTTTGTTTCTCCTCAGAAGAGAGAGCAAGGGAGTTATCAGTCTAATAATTCTTCCTCCTATTGGGAACCAGTGGAGGGTGACGGTGTCTTGGCGTCCTGGATGGTTTCATTAGACCCTGGGGTTCGGTGGGGGATCGGACCATATGGATGAGAACTACTTAGCCGCTGTCCACGGAGGATGTTACATTCAACCTACTAGATCTTTTTAATTAAAACTCTTAATTAAAACGATGCAGAGCAATTCCAGCACCTTATGTGCTGGGTCGATTTGTGTTTGTGCATTAGGGTTTGGACTTGGGAGGTTCCTTTTCCTTATTGACTCGATCATTGATAATTAAAACTGATTAATTGAGTTATGCCTTAGATAAATATATTTAACAGAACATTTAACAACCTGTAACCAACAAAACATTGGTATTGTTATTGATCAGAATTGTTATGATAATTACTTGCTGATATGTATAGTTTGCCGCTGCCCTTTCTCAAAGAAATTACATTGATATAGTTCTAAATGTTTTAATGTTGCCAAGATGGCAACACTAACAGCTTGTCCCTTCAGGCCTCCATCCAAAGCCAATCCCCAAAAATTCTGAATATGAATTCAACCAAAGTACATCGTGATTGTTATACCTATATGAAGACTGGAAATAAAATACCAGATCATGTAATATATTCCTTCCTTGTTTGAGAGGGAATTTGTATTCAAGCACCTGACAATACCACTCCAGAGCCACCTATGCTAACCTGTTGTCTGTCTCCTCTTTTCGGTGTATTTGACTGTTTCTGTCAGGTGTTGGTTGTGTCTCTATTTCTGTGTCTTGCCTGTTTTTACTTTCTGTTTCTGTATCTGACTCTATCTTCTCTGCCTGTCCCTACAACTGCTAGTTTCATCAGGACTGCAAAATACAAATGGCAAAGAAAACACACAAAGCAGTATGCTCTGCTGCAGTGCGATTGCAAACGCTAACAATCAGAAACTGAGAAACAAACAACAGTGAAGAATGACGGATAGGAACATAGAGGTGATTGTTTGGTAAGGTGGGAAGGATTTACAGAGTAAAGACAATTTTTCAGCAACTTCTCAATACAACACTCTAAAGTGTAAAGCAAACCCGTTACTGTATCAGCATTTAAAAAAATATAATCAGGATATAGATCTTATAACAATAGGATCACACCAGTCGCGATGTCGAACCAGCTGGTCAAAAAGTTGCGAATTGGAAAATACTACACTAGCTAGAAGCAATCTTTGATTCAGTCTTCGCACAAACGATTCGAAAGAAAGGTTTTGCGGCAGAAAAAACCAGGATGGAAAAACTATTCATGTCAAAGCAAAGACAACAAAATCTAAACACATAATAAGTTATATAATGCCGGAGGACATTTTTATGTGGATAACAATGTAAAAAATGCATTCAATTTTGACTATGGGGATTGGAGTGACAAGCAGAGATTTGAAGGCTAATCAAAAGGAAGAGGGATTCGGGCCGTTACATGTGGAGATTGATTTGATTTGAAACTATGGGAAGCAGGTTGGCTAATGGTTGATGCAGGTGGGTGCGGATGGTAAGGTAAAGCACATACAGGAAGTGGAAACGGGTATTTCGATGGGTGTGTCAGTCGGGTGATTGTGAAAGGAGGGAAAAGTCAGAGTTCATTTTGAGAACAGAGGGGAAATGGCAACATTCTGAGAAAGTTGGAATGTGGCTGTCGAGGGGAAGAGAAAGTGGCTTTTTATCAGTGAAAAGAAGAACAGATACACAATAATGTGGCACATTTATTAATGACTTGCCAAATAAATCCACGTGTTATTTTTCTGGCAGATATTGACTTGATTATTTCTGAGTAACATTTTGAGCCAAGAAACCCTCCCAGGAAATGTAAAATAAAAGGATTGTCTCGAAAGAGTAACTCATGTGAATGTCAGCAGAATCTTAGATAATTCTTAAGTATGAAAAGTGTTTTCAAGTTGAAATAAAAGAGGCTCGCTCGCTGTTGACTATCCAAAATAGACGTCCTTAATATGGTATGAGGTGTGAAATCCTAATCTGGGCAAGAGAGACGGCTGCATTCTTGCAATGCTGATGCCACAAAATAATTTGTTTGAAACCATATGGTTTATGACACCAGAAATGCAGGATGTCAGCTGACAGAGACACAGCCCACCAGTGTCCCTGCAACCCTATGCTGACTTTGCATTTAAGTCAACTTAAATGAGAGCTGTGTTTCCATTCAGATTGTGTCCTTTTTAAAATTTGCTATTTCAATTTTATAGCAATATATCATTACCAGAGAAGCTTTTGACACGGTTTTGTGATTACCATAAGCAAAATAGGCCTTTATAAAACTATTATTAACAACATGCAACATTTAACTATATTAAAAACCTATAAGAAAAGTAATTTTTTACTAAAGAAAAACCGAAATCCAACACCAGAAGAAACATCAGAAACGTCCAGATTACTTCTTAATCACCAACCGACTTGGTCTTTCTTTATATATGAATAGTAATTCACTGCTGGTCAGAGTAACATACATAAAGACATTCAGACACGCAGCTCAAGCCTGAATGATTACAGCTGACTGGGGTAGCTTCACATTTATCTGCACACTGGCTTCACATTATGCAGAATGCTGCTGTCAGTTATAACTATGTAAGCAAAAAACCTCTCTCCAGTAGCTGTGGCAGTAGTGCTCAAGCCTGCACACACACAGGTACATAAAGTATTGTAAAGCATTTTTGTCAGCCAGTCAGAACTCATTGTCGTCAGGCAATGAGTGAGGCAGATTTCAGGCGACTGCAGCAGAAAATGGTTAGGGGAAGGTGTAAAAGGTCATTTTCTAGTCCATTCATTCATCAATCTTTGCCATGCTAACATACAGACAATCAAACCTCTATTCATACATATCGGTGTTTACTTGCATATATTTTTTAAGTTTGCGCAGAGAGAACTTGCAAACTCCACATATACAGGACCAGGATAATTATGAGGCAATAATGCTTTCACTGCTTTCAAAACATTCACCTAGGTATTGACAACTTCTTTGCCATTTTATTGATTCAAGCTAGAGTGTTTAGTATCATATTTTGTTCATAGTAAGTCTCTTACAGAATTAGGACATTTCTAAATTTCTAAATCCTTCTCACAGCATAATTGTATTTTGAATACATGTTCACAGTGAGCGCTCGGCATGTTATGGTTAAATATTTTAATGCTCCAAAGGACAACTTAGTTTATTTTGCTTTTTTCTGTCTGTAGTTTGATAGTTGTGTGTGAACTCTCGATGTCGGCCATTTGCATGCAAGGCTGGTTTCACTGCAGAGGAGAGGAGAGGCCTGACGCTCTGATTGGTGCAGGAGTTGCTAGACAACAGATGTCCAGCCGGCTGGGAGGTGGACTACCTGTGGAGGAGGGAGAGAGCAAAGAGAGTGAAAGAAAATCGGAGGTGGAAAATGATGAGAAAGGGTTAGGCTGTTATTTGATGGACATTTACATTGGACAGTGAGTTCCAGCAGGCAAATATTGAACTAATGTTACCTGACCACCTTAGTATTCACCTTTCAGTCAGTGTTTGCTTGATGTGTTTTTGTTTTCAAAAGACACAACTTTGTCATGAAGTGTTAACAAGATAGGCCTAAAACAGCAAAAAACCATTACCTTTTAGTTTAAAATTCTGAGATAAAAGCATTTATCAATCAGTTCGAAATTACATTGTTTGTCTAACTGACATTAAATTATTTACCTGAAATTGTTACAATTTATGAGCATTTCAAATGTGTCAGTGACTGAAAGATGGTATGAAAAGGATTTACTAACAGAAAATGCCTAATGATGTCCAAATGCATTATATGAGCAAAGTTGCCACTTACTGAACTCTTTATGGGCGATTCTTGCATTTGGCATCTCTGCCATTACAAAGAGTTGTAAAAACATTGCATTGATTAAAACTACATCTGAATAGAAGGAAAGTCCTGCTTTAAATGCATTCTTGAGGACTGTTATATTTTTTCACACTTTTAAAAATAAAACAAAAAGGATAGACATTTCAAAAATAAATACATTCTTTTATGTGTATGAAGTATTTATGTGGGCTGCCAGATACAATTTCTACAGTGAGTAGGAAAAGAGCTTGGGGCTAAATGTGGACCAAGTTGAACTTCGACAGAGTACTGTTTGCTTTCCAATAATTTGTCTGCTGTAGAACGCCGTCACGATACATTTGAAAGTTGAGCTATTATGTAGGTCAATAAGTATGTTTTAAAATATATATCTGGCTGTTAACCTACAAAAGATGATGCATTTATTATGTATATTATTATCTATACAAACATTTTGTATACAAATATAGTATGAACTTGTATGTGTACGACTGAAAGAGAGCCAGAGAGATTATGTGTCATTCAGAGATTAGTGACCTTGCTCGAAGGGGCCTGCTAATAATGAAATAATAGCTGAGATGCCCTTGTTTCTGGCTCTGCCTGTCAGGCTGCCTGTCTGCCTCTCTGCTGCTGTGCTCGTCTGTAAAGCTGGCAATAGACTTCAAACAACATTTAGATTGGCTTGTTCTCACAGGCAATATGGCCGATTTGCGACCACACAGAAAAGCAGCACTGGAGTCTGTTTGTTGCAGCATGTGCAGGCCTCTTTTCACACTGTCTAGTTCAACCCTGAAGGTGCTTTTTTACTAACATATGGTTAATTGTGCTATAGAACCTTTGTCCTATGTGGACACATTTCCAGTTGATCTGCTGTTTATTTACACCTTTGCCACCTCTCCAACTTAAGTTGATGGTTTATCATTTAAAGCCTTTAGTTTGTCATACGGTTGTAAAGCCCCCTTTTGATTTGTTATATTGGGCTTTAACATTTATTTGATTTTTTTAATTAGATCATGAAGCTGATTGGCACACATCTACATCCTTGCCCATGGTTTAGGGAGGAAACGAACCATCGCATTTTATGCTTTTTGTTATGTACTTTTGACTAACTATACCAGAATAGGTTTTAAATCAACGTATTGCTCCTGTATTTTAGCTCGGAATGTAGTGCTGCCGCGGCTCATGCTGTATCTGTTTCGCATTTCAGTGTTGTTGTTTTTCTTAACTTGCTTCATGTCTTTCACTGCGCCTGTTGTTGATGAACAGTCTTTCAGTCACAGTGAACATACTGTACTGTACTATTTAGCAGTCAGTGGACAGCGCGTCAAGTTCCATTTGGTCTAAAGCATACTGCAGCCTTAGGTGTGCCTATGTGTCTGCCTGTCACTTACTATACTGTAGATTCAGTACACCTACACAACCAAAGAGAAACCTGTGTCTATAAAGGGAACACGCTGCCTCTAGCTCTTTATTGGTCTTTTCCTTAGCGGCACTGAGTCCACAGTTTCCATAGCATCAAGAAGAGCAGAGGCAGGAGACATGGATGAGAGTGAAAAATAGGCGTCCTATTTTAACTGTAGAAAAAAAGTTGAACCCGCTGCTCTTCTATCTCTCCTTCACTTTCTCTCTCCCTCTCATGCTCGTGCACTTCGTGTCCCGAGGCAAAGCTGAAATGGGTCGCCTTAACGCCGTGCTGCAACACTCATTATAACGACTGCAGCTCTTACTCAGTTCTTCCGGTTTAGAGCCACTGGTCTTTGGTGTCTTATGACAGGAAGAGTTGTCACTTGTTGTTTGTCATAGTCAGATACAATCAGTCTGGTGTCATAGAGGAGATAGGTGCGATTTTTGCTGAGGGCTCAGGAGTACAAACCTTACACCTGTTTTCCTTTCTGTCTCTCATTGAAGACATGTGTTTTGCTGTTGATTAGAATGCATGCAATATAGACAAAAATAAAGCATACTGTGTCTAAGTGTGTTTTGGTTGAAATAGACATATGTAACGTTCATGGGAGTTCCAGCTAATTGTTTTGGTTTTCTGGCCGGCCATTTTTTTCCGTTTTGGCGCACTCTCTCTGCTCCTATGTTGTTGTTTGTCAAAAATGCAGTTATAAGTGTGTAGAAATCAAAATCAGAGCTAATTAAGAGTACATATTAGACTTGGACCAGGTGGATAGACAACTCCAAACATAATTTGACAAATAATGTGATATGTCAGTACTTTGCTTGAAGAAGAAGATACCTTATTAGTGTTAATAACTAGTTGTAGGCTGCCTCAGCCACTAATCAGTTATTGCAGTTCCCATGATCTGTTTTTTTGGCTAATCCACTATACCTTACTAATCAAGCTTCCTTATAATGTAATGGATACATAATCCTGTAATGCAGGGACAATTCTGCATGCTGGTCAAGATCCCTCCGCTTCGCGTCGGTCTCCTGACAGCGTCGGTATCCATTGATATGCAACCACACCAGGCGATCCTCTCAATATAGAATGTTCCAACGGAATGACATTGCCAGGCAACAGCTTGAGTCAATGACTACTTCCTGCCTGTACTACTGACCTTCACATTCAGTGCGACAGGAAGTAAACTGAAACCCATTTAAAATGTTAATGTTAACAACTGTCATCCCAGTAAACCAAGTCTGCTGTAAGTGAACAAAGAAATGTTTAGAGCAAGAAAAAGTATCCGAATGATCATTAGATTTGAGTTTGGCCTCAGAAACTGTTTATTTAATAAATGTTTGTATCATTGCATGTTTATTTTGATCAGCAAAAGGAACCTGCAAGCTGGAGCTTATATTAAGCCTGACACTGGGGGTCAAAATGAATGCACTGTGGCTGCTCACTCTGTTTGTTGTCGACTGTAATATGCCTGTTTGTCGAACAGAATCAAGCACTCAGGTCTCATTATTTTCATCAAGCATTTCAGTTCTAATAAAGAAAAGAACAGGGCTGTCACACGGCCAACCAACACGTACAGTACATGCTGAGGTGTGAATATCACGTACACAAACACACACTGACAACACTGCGCTGTCCTCCACTGAGTCAAAACTAACTTGCAGCCAACTTCATGTTCGATGGTTCTCAAAGCCAATCATAGCAGGGAACAGTAAAGAGTATTCAAAATAACTTGTCTCTGTTTCTCTCTGTGTTTGTATCTCCTCTGTTTTCTTTTAGATCATCAAAAGCTGGAGAGAGAGGCGAGGATTTGTCGTTTACTAAAGCACACCAACATCGGTGAGCTGCGAGTCCTCGATCTTAAAATATGCACAGTCCACACACTGATACTAACGGAAACACATATTTTGTTCAGGTCTCTGGTGAATCCTGCTATGGCTATTCATCTTTTAGACACAGTTATGAGAGAGACAAGTTTATCTGCGTGTGTGTGTGTGAGTCCGTACACACATATTTTTAATGATGATCCATCTGTGTGCTCTCTCAGCTGAATCATCAGAAAACCATACACCAGTGACCCTTTACACTCTTTCCTCCTCATTATACCTCAACAGAACCGGTCTCTCATCCTTTGTTATTTTCACACTCATCCAGTCATGTTCTTTCTGTTCCTTACTATCATTTTTTCCGCCACATCTGCGATTCAAGTCGGTTTCTCACGATAACTTCTGCTTTTACAAAGTTTGAGGACACCTATGATTGAACCTTTGAAATCTTAAAAAAGTAGACAAAGACAATATATGATGTATGGGCATTGTTGACTTTGACTGAGCAAAAGATACAATACACTTGTTTGGTCAATGTTAATATCCGTCAATATGGAAAAATGAATATGTATATTAATGCGCAAAAACAGATCATATGAAAGAGATATAGGATAGTATATTGAGATTGTAACAGTACATCATTTTTATCAATTGCCAAGCCACAACTGAAGCAAATCCAGAATTTGTATTTTCTCATATTAAATGTTTGAATAGATTTTCAAAAAAGCCAAGGATTTGATCCTATATTCCTTCTTAATCCATGTTGAGCCCTCAGATGCCAGTTTAGATTTAAAGCTGTAATCATTAAATAGTTCACTTATTTAAATGGCGCACAGCTAACTGTATGAGTACAGGTTTGTTTCTTGGATTTGGTTTCATAGATCAACTGTAAACTATTTGTAAAAGGAAATGTAGCCTCAAGTTTGGCTTGAGTTTGTTTATAGGACAGGTTTAAGTCTTAGTTGTTCTCCAGTATTTAAACTAATCACCGTGATTGTAACGATGGAACTGTGCTAAAAAACCTTTTGAGAATATATTCCTTAAAACATGAATCATCACATTAAGCAGGGCTACAACATACTTTGCTTTGAAAACTCATTTTCATGATTTACATGCTCCACACTGCTTTGTTACATATTACCACCGTATTTCTGATACACCTGACAACTAACCAACTCTGACGAACCGCAACACAAAGGATAATGTGAATAATAAGAATTGGTACTAGTATTTGTGCAGCAGTATTGAATGCTTTTGGTTTCATCTGGCTTTTTCTTTTGTCTGTTTTCTTTTCCCATTTTTCTTTGATCTCCTCAACAGTACGACTCCATGAAAGCATATCAGAAGAGGGTTTCCACTATCTGGTGTTTGATCTGTAAGTTACAGACTCTATTTCTCTCACACACACAAACACATACACACTGTAACATTGTGTACAGAAATGTTAGTGAAGATGGATTGGATTGGACCATTTTTTTCTTAAATCCTTTCCTAGTGTTTGGTGTAGTCCTTTTAGCTAGGTTGTAGCAAGCTATTGATTTAGTAAACCAAATTGCACAAAAAGACTGCATTTTAGAAGGACACAGTTACAAGGACTACTGACAAAGCGTAGAGTTTGTACGGAACCAGAAGTAATGTTAAGTACAAACGAATTGCTGAATAAGATATTACCGGCAAAACACCCTTGGACACTCGTGTGGTCTCTCAATTACAAGGTATCCCGCCATAAAGCATATTATCGTTTATTTTACTTTAAATGGGACAATAATTTACAAAATGAAAATCACTCTGTATTGAGAGAGACTTAACGCTAGTAATTGGAACCAAAAACTTGTTAAGTAATGTTGACTGGGGTAATAAATCAAGTGAGAAGTAGTCATTTTCTCAACTGTCAGGTCAAGGTTGTAAACTATATTTAATTTGAACTAACAATACCCCTTTCATTTTCCACAGCCCAGCAATTAAACGTTTCGCCAACTTTTTTTAATTCAGTAATGCGTTATTCTTTGCTCTAATGAGGCCGTGTTTGAACTCAGCAACAGGCTCCTGACCTATATACCTCCTCCTGCATATGGACGTGTGAATGTGGTGGATGGGCTTAAAGCTGTGTGTGTTGTAAGCTATTTAGGTAACTGTGTAGTATAAACCTTTAAAAAAAAAAGAACGATTGTTGCGGTTATTGTTACTGAGACGGAAACATGTGCTGTATTGTTTTCCCTGTTCCTCCACAGCGTTACAGGAGGAGAGCTTTTCGAGGACATCGTGGCCAGGGAGTACTACAGTGAGGCTGATGCCAGGTAACACGCACACGCACACACAGTGCTGAGCACAGCAGCCATTATGCATCTCTGTCTATAACTGGTGGTGAGGGTGTGTATATGCTACATTTGTGTGTTTCACATATGGACTTCTCAGGGGTGCGATACAGCTGCCTTGTCTAGTTATTTATAAAGGTGATTAACGACATATAGCCTGCGGTATTAATCATACATAACCTATCTTACACTGCCAGCTTTGTGTTAAAATACTTCCTCCCCAGAGAGAGAGAGAGAGAAAGGGAAAGAAAGAGTGTGTGTGTATCTGTGTTTCCTTGGTGTGACTTGGTTTGTCTATGTAATGTAATGCGTCAAATCTTGTGAAAAATGACTTACTGTAACCTGTCAAGAAAACAGCTTCACACATAAGTAGCCTTATGAGGGGGACTATGATATATTGCCAGTGATGTTTCCTCTTCTAATACTGTCAATTAATTCAGCTCCTCTTCTCTTCTCTGCCTTTCTTCCTATTCTTTTCTGTCTCTCCTTCCATTCGTTCCATGACAATCCTGTGCTTGTTCATTACCCTCCGGCACTCAGCCACTGCATACAGCAGATCCTCGAGAGTGTCCAGCACTGCCATGTTAATGGGATCGTCCACAGAGATCTGAAGGTTTGTATGACCGCAGCCTCTGCTGCAGCCATGTTCAGTCCTGACTGTGTACAACAGATGGCAACTTTCTAAAAGGCAAAGTGATTCCCTTTACACCCCTCACCCTTAGCGTCCAGACATTTTTCTTAATTTTACAATCTGTTAGTTGAATAAATTAAAATCAATATTTATGTTCATGTGTAGGAAAACATATTAGCATCATTATTTGCCAAAGTATTACATCTTTCCTGTAAAGAAGCACACGTTTTGAATAATTAATAAAGATGATTTGACCTTGACCTCAGCTTTAAAATAGTCTGCAATTCTGGTATGTAGAATAAGATTAAGACATACCAAACTGCAAAGGTTTAAGGCTCATATTGGAGAGTCTTATTGAGTATATGTTCTGGGCTCAATACCTGTCTTGTCAACATCAAGAACAAGTATCCTCATCTGATACTGCCCCTGATGTTGCACAGCGCATGCTAGCATCTTTATGTTTGTGTATGTGATGTCGTAGTACCCTGCGTGCATTGCTATGGTGACAGCAATAGGAGCAATCACAATCCAGTACCTCCGGAATGATCCACATTTGCATAATTATGATAAAATAATGTTGAGATTTGAAAGATTTTTTAAGGTCATGAATATTCTAATGATAGTTTTTATTCTCTCAAGCTCCCAAGAGTGTTTTTTATGTCAAAGGAAAAGGGAAGAGAGAGCTCACGAATATTTTCAAATGTGCATATGTAGGTATACTGCAAGAAACATGTAGTAAATCAGACTTTATAAGAGGAGCTGTCCTTTTCTGGGGTGATGTTAAGTTTTCAAATGCTTTATAATCGGGAGGATTTATTCATAATTATGTAAATGAGTATGTTGATGTTGTCCAGTTGTCAGTAAGTGTTCTGTTGAGTAATATTTCTGGCATAAAGTGAGTTCTCAAAGGCTGTCTGTGTTTAGAGTCTCTAAATGTTAGAAAATGTATTATTCATTAGAGAACCCTATCTAACTGGCCTTAGGTCAGCAAAGACCTTTCTGGGCCCTTGTGTGTGTGTCTGTGTGTTAGAGAGTGTGTTTAAGCGTTTGAGTGCATATATTTATAGTTGTGCGAAATAATGCTTGTGTGCAGTGTGTGTTTTTCGTTACCCATATGTGACTGAGTCCCTTGATTTTACACCCACGTCTCCTGTTACACCACACCTCCCTCCTGTATCCTTCTCCCTGCAGTGTGCACTTTGTTCCCACTCATGGATTTTAACAGTGGATTGATGTTTTTGTGGACGAGCACATCATGTCTGCTACAAATTCACTCCCTCAGAATCCATGAGATTTTGGGCACAAGTCCACAGCTCCAGGGTGGAACATGTCCTTTGTCACATAGAGATTTGGTCCCGTGCACATTTCTGTTTCTCTGTCATTTGTGTGGCAGAACGGGAGTTGCCTCAGACACTGATTTAAGAGCAGTTTAGCATCATTGACCCCTAATAGTTCGTATTAGGATTCGATTTAGCTAATCTGATTTTAGATCTGTGTCTGTGGGCAGCTTGTTCCCAGAGCGTGTGACCTCTCACCTCTAACCTGTTTGACTCCGCCCCCCCCAGCCTGAGAACCTTCTATTGGCCAGTAAGCTGAAGGGGGCGGCGGTCAAGTTGGCTGACTTTGGGCTGGCTATCGAGGTGCAGGGGGACCAGCAGGCATGGTTTGGTGAGTATTCATCCATCCATTTCTCTACCTGGATCAGTTGGTCAATCAAGCAAACAACCAGTTGATCAATCAATCAATCACTCATTTAGTTGCGAAACAGCCCAGTCATTGAATTGCCCACTCCTGCCTACCACTCCACATCTCCTCCCCCCTCCATATCACTTCTCCAGGTTTTGCCGGCACCCCGGGCTACTTGTCTCCGGAGGTACTGAGGAAAGACCCATATGGGAAGCCAGTGGACATGTGGGCTTGTGGTAAATAACACTCAAATTCTCTCAGTGCAGCTGTTTGAATGAAGTTGATGCTGAAGCTAAAGTCTTTATGGCATTCTGCAACAACACTGCAGCTTTATGTTGTGTGAAGTTTTAAATATAAGGGAATACTATGCTTTTGTTCTGTGTACAGTCCTGCAGTATGTTGGTATTTTCTTACCATGTCACTTCCTTTCAGGTGTGATATTATACATTCTGCTGGTGGGCTACCCTCCCTTCTGGGATGAGGACCAGCACCGCCTTTACCAGCAAATCAAGGCTGGAGCTTATGATGTAAGTGCACATACATATACATTACAAATGAAAACTAACATTGTATTGGTTTTAATAATTCATTTGAATGATTACATTATTTGTATACCTACTGAGTTCCTCAGCTGTTGGACATTAATTCAGCTAAAGGATGTTAAAATAAAAAGTGAATACACGAGTTATGATGCTATATTTTCTCCTTATTAATTTCTACGTCATTGTTTTAAACTGTCTTCTTTTTGACTAGTTCCCATCCCCAGAGTGGGACACAGTCACTCCTGACGCCAAAGATCTGATCAACAAGATGCTAACCATCAACCCCAGTAAACGCATCACTTCCCCAGAGGCCCTCAAACATCCCTGGATCTGCGTATGTGGCGCACACACACAAATTACAGATATGCAGAACACTCAAATAAGCTGCTTCACAGTCAGATGCCTCAGTAGCATCAATGATCCAACTTGTACAAACAAGCAAAGTCCCATTGCCCACAAATGCAAATGCCTACAATCCTGCCATCTATTGTTTCCATTCTCCCTTAATCCTCAAATCCTCTCATCTCCTTCCTGCAGCAACGGTCCACTGTAGCTTCCATGATGCACAGGCAGGAGACTGTGGAGTGCCTGAAGAAATTTAACGCCAGGAGGAAACTCAAGGTGAGTGTTCTGGCAATCCTTCATGTTTCTATTTATTTAGAATACATCCAGACATGTCTCTCTCCCCCTCTCTCTCTCTCTCTGTCTTCCATACTCAAGACTTTACAGAGTAACTTGAGTATAATATGACTTCTTCTCTAAGACCTTCAAGTTGACCTTTTGCTGTGCTCTTCTTTCTTGCTGTGAGCTTGTAATCAATCTCCCTATTTCTCACTATTCCTCTTCCCCCCTTTTTTTCTTCCAAATATTCTATGACTGCAGGGAGCCATATTGACCACCTTGCTGGTCACAAGAAACTTCTCAGGTATGTCTCTCTGAGCCTGGTATTCAATACCTGGTTATATATCCTATAAACTAAAGACATTTATGTTATAGAAACAGGAGGCTTCAAATACTTCAAGCATTTTCTCTTGGTTTTAGTTTGGTTATCGTCATCACAAAAACAATCTTCTAGTCTTTGAGAAAATAAAGTCAGATTCGCTACAAATTTGGTAAAACATAATATAGAATAGATTCTTTAAAACCTATTTGTTTATGCCTTCAGTCTGTTTTTTCTTGTTGAACAATTATTATTTTGGCACATAGGTGTTGTTGGTAAACAAAGCCACCTCTCTTTATCTCTCTAATCGTTCTATCATACCGTTTTGCATGCATTTCTTTTGACCTATGTCTATTTTCTCTGGCTCTCAATAGCCTGCTTTCTTTCTTCATTCTACAATAAAATGCATTAGTGCATTTGTGTCTTTTATTCATCATTCTTTTTCCTTTTTTCAATTTGTTTTCCTCATTTTGTTTGGATTGTGGTTTCCGTTTGAGGTAAGATTTCTTAGAATGACAAGGAAATATGTGGGTGTGGGCAAAACTAAATAGTTTTGGTGTTAAGGCCTTACTTACTCTTTTACTATCAAATCACATTATGCATGAGGTAAAGTGTTTGGTATTCAAAAGAATAAATTGGAGCTCACGCTTGCAAACGTTCCAATATGAGATAAGAATGACATTTTGACAAAGGATACAGCATGTTTTTTTATTGCAATCCGGTGTTTGGGGTTTCTTTATGCCTTGGTAAATCAAAGAGAGAATAGTGGTGGGATTGTATGTGTGGGTGCTAGTGGTTAAGTGCATGTGTATGAGCGCAAATGTATACTTAAAATGCTGTGTGGGTCTGTTGGAGATGTGTTTATTACCCCTATCATCACATCCTAAATACACACCTATCCTTCAGCCCTTCATGTGAATTAGTATGTAGTAGGAAGGCCGACTTGCATAAATGAAGATGTTATTTGAGCATCTTTTGCATTGCATTATGGATCTTGCAGTTGGATTTTGCACCTGGAGTTTGAAGATAAGCACAGTTGACTGATATGCTTGCTGCATGTTAGTGTAGCCTCAGGCTTCTGTTTGTGAACTCTCCTGCTGACGTTTTGTCTATTTCTTTCCTTCTGCAGCAGCCAAGAGTTTGCTCAACAAGAAGGCAGATGCTGTAAAGGTGGGTTGCTTTGCTCAGTGAACAAAATGCATTGTTAAATGCATTTGTTTGCTCAACCTGTTCAGTGTCTGAGGGGCCTTCCAGATAATAACTATGCATTGTGCACAAAATGACATTACCATTCAGGGAGAGTCACTGCATGCAGGGGGCAATGGTTGTTATATTTTTAGCTAAATCTCCTTTTTCCTTCAATTAATGATTTAACAAGTACACATTTACTTATTTATAAATAACAGTTTAATCTATTGGCACAGTTTATGTGGCCATTGAATACATGTTTTATTACCTGTAGGTTGCTACCTTATCGGACAGCATGGTTTATTCAAAAATAGTTTCAGACAATTGTCTTCTTATCTCTCCAAGTTTTACAGTCTGCTTGTATTCTCATAAGTCTAGCACCTTAGAAACACAATCAGTTTCCCTTTGAATACTTTTTTTCAGAACAGTCTAGTTTAAACAAGCTCTTGTGCTTCTGCATATGTCTATAGTAAAGCTTTACTCAATACAACTACCCTCCTGCTAAGTGTTCTTTATACAAAACACAGATTTGATTAAGATGTCTCGCTTGGTTACAATGTTAGACTCGGTAACATCACATCTATGGGACACATGAGTTGGGATGATCTCTTTGGAGTGAACCATAGCCAGGGTGTGTGTGTTAAAGTGTGTAAGCACAAATGTGTGTCTGAAAAGTAAGTATGTGTCATATCCCCTCTACACTGCCCCCTGCAGGTCAACAACAAAGCCAACACAGTGACCAGTCCTAAAGAAACTGGCCCTACCCCTACTCTGGTATTAACACACCTTGTCCTACACCCGCACCTTCATCCACAACACCTCTAATACCCCCCCCCACACACACACACACACACACCCTTTTGTGAAGGAGGTACAGGGTCACCCTTTAAAACAGGCTCAGATCATGTATCGTTTGCTGCCGCCTTGCTTGAGAAGACTTACATTCTTAACCAGGTGTATAGGAATAAATCAAATAAAATGAGTGGAACAGATGTCTAGCTAAAGACATCTGTTTCACTCTATCTATTTCAGGCTATCCCTGAAATAGTGTGTTTCAGCTTTTAAGGCTGCACTGCATGTCGCTGCTCCAGCATATTTGATACAGCTACCCATAAAGAATAAACTATTAACAATCCAGATTGATGTTTTCATTTAATCATCTGAATTAGCATGCATGGAGCATACATAGAATGTTTATGTTGCTGAAACAATAAGCCTTTAGACACACCTTTGGATTGGAGTGTGTTTTTAAATATTTAATAAGGAGCAACCTCTACCTCTTCCCTCACCCCCCCCCCCCCCC